ACGGGCCTCAGGCATGGCGGGCCTCAGCCCTGGCTCTGCTGGCCCACACAGAGCCGCGAAGGGGTGAAACCGCCCCGTGGTTCCTGACCCCCGATTCTCTGGTGACGGGGCCTGGGTTGAAGGAGCCATTTTGTTCTTTGGCCCCCAATTTGGTTGAACAAGACCTCTCCCCCTCTGAGTGCATTTTCAAGTGAGCGAATCCAGACCTTTTGTGCAACCCCAGCGACAACCCATCTTTGACGCCCACACAGAGCCGCGAAGGGGTGAAACCGCCCCGTGGTTCCTGACCCCCGATTCTCTGGTGACGGGGCCTGGGTTGAAGGAGCCATTTTGTTCTTTGGCCCCCAATTTGGTTGAACAAGACCTCTCCCCCTCTGAGTGCATTTTCAAGTGAGCGAATCCAGACCTTTTGTGCAACCCCAGCGACAACCCATCTTTGACCCAAGAGCAATTCCTCTCTTTACTTGTTTTGAACGACAAAAAGACACGTTTCAGGGCACCAAGATCCTGTATCTGGTAGCCTGCACAGTGCAGGGGAGCAGTCGACACTCACCTGTAGCCCAGGACGGTGCAACTGGTGCAGCTCAAGTCAAGCTCGGAGTCCTGCAGACTGGATAGGAACTGCGAAGGGAAGAGCAGCGGTCACTCGCTCACCTCATTTCCCCAAGCAGAAAACCTAGACGATGCCGGAGGTTTTGCAGGGAGCTGGAGACAGCAGAAGCGGCTGCCCTTGTCTCCACAGGTACCCGGAGCTCCTCTCTCCTGCATGTGGCTCCGCTTCGCTCCAGGTTTGGCGCCAGGTTGGACTCACCAGCCTCTCCAGCGCGGGTGTCAGCGCCCTGTAGTAGTCGGAGTTTTCCGCCTGCAGGCTGCTGTTGAAGGCGATGCCCCTCAGCTCCACCGTGTGCTCAAAGCTGCTCTCGGCCGCGGGGTGACAGGCTGCCGGGGAGGGAAGGTTTCCATCACGGGAGGGACGCGGGGCTTTGGGGGGTTCCCGTCGTGTCCCCTCAACCCTCTGCATCTTTAGCTGCCTGGTTCCCCCTGCGATGCCCTGGGAGGGCCACCCTGCCCGGCTGGGCTACCCCTGCCCTGAGGTGCAGCCAACACCTCCCTCCGAAGGCTCTGAACAGGGTCTGGGTCTCACGGGGGATGCAAGAGCCGTGAGGAGGAGCAGGGCTGGATGGTGGTGAATGGGACGGTGGCACTGGTGTCACTCACCCAGCAGGATGCCCAGGTAGAGGGCAGTGACGGTGCCCACGAGGGCAGCGGCGACCGTCACCTTCCAGCGGCTGCACCTCGGGCACGCTGGGGCGCCCGGCTCCTGCTTTGCTTGATCCATGCTCTCCGAGCAGCTCTATGGATGGTCTCTGTGATTTAAATACAGTAAAAATAAGGAAAAGACAGTAACTCCTCTCATTGCAAACACCCGTTGCCTGCAAGAACTGCAGCAGTGCGGTGCTTGGCACATTTCATCCAGGTGGGCAGAGGATCCTGGAATTACGGATGTCGAACAAGGATACAAATACGAGAAACATCAGGTACGAAGGCATCTGCTGTGTCTAATGAAGCCAGCTGTGAGAGCATTGTGATATCTTCAAATATAAAATAGTGTTAGATGGTATAAATCAGGAGAATGAAGCCTTTGCGGCCGAAATCTTGTGTGCACATACAGAGGCAATAAGAGATTTCAGCGTCATGGTTAGCTGTCTGGCTCTATTGCAGAATGTCATCGTCTTTGCTGTAACTAAGGTCCCAGATGGGATGTGGGCTCCAGACGTGAGGCCACATCTCCCATCCTGCTGAGTTGCGACTTCAACAAACTGGGAAGCTGCTAAGAAACCACTTTTTCTAATGCAAATTTATTGAGTAATGAAAGAAAGAGGGAAGAACAGGACCCAGGACACTGGGAGCAGCAGGACGGATTCTGAAGAGCTTTTGAACCTCTCCCAAGAGGCGTCCACGGCTCTTTAAACTGGAGCTTCTAGATAAGAGATTTGGAAAGGTCGCTTCTTTGTGAGGCAGGAGACAAAGAGGGGGAGAAGGGACATCCTGGCCAAGATGCCTCATTTCTAAGCCCTGCAATGCTCTTTTTCAGCTTCAACTGAACCTTCCAGAGAGGCAGTCGGCGCTGGAGCTTCGTTAGCAGCATCGGTGTTGGCAGAGGACAACCCCACTCCTGCCAAGAAAGATTTTTCCAGTGGTCCCTGTGACTTAAATGCACACGAGGGAGCAAGGAGCAGTCCCTTTCAGCATCTTTTGGAGGCTCTGGTCTATCGCAGTGTTAAGATATTGAGCACTGAAGCTCCAAACCTAATGCTGATCCACGCAGGGGGCAATACTGGCGGGCATTGATGTCCCTGGATTTAACTGGGAGGAAGAGAGCAGCTGAGAAAAACTTAATGGGCAAGAGAGCTGCTAGTTTGGGCAACACCAGTTGGATTGAGCTAATCTGAGTGAGTGGAAAAGGACATTTATGGACCTCGTCAGGGTGTAAGTGACGGGCAGTTACAATGCCCCTGATAGCAGAGGGACAAGCTCAGGGCTGGCAGAGAGCCCTCCCAGACCGTTTTGGGGCAATTTCTGTGTGTTGCTCAACGGGTGAGACCACCATGTGGTCTAAGGTCGTGCCGGGAAGCCCTCAGCCAAGCAGGAGCTTTGTGAAATGCTCGTGCTGGCCTGAAAAAAACATGTTCCTGGCTCCAGATGGAGAAGCAGCTCCGCAGCGAATCCACCTGCGGCCTCGGGGAGTAGCCGAACAAAATTCCCCTTGGGCAAAGACAACGGGAGACTCGATGGCCGGGGTAGGACTGGGAGCGCAGGAGAGGAGGAAGAGAGCGGAAGCAGGAGAGCGTTTTTCCAGTGGGGGAAAACACAAAATGAGGAGTCCAAGCGGGATGAACAGCCCTGGATGGGGACACCCGGTGCCCGCAAGGGTGTCCCCAGCCCCGCGCCCCCCAACCAGCAGCTTCCCGACCGTCCCCGGCTCCTGCGCGTCCCGTCCCCGGGAGGCCGGTGACACTGCACCGCCTTGTTCATTGTCCCCGCCGGCCTCCCAGCGCCTCTCAATGTCCCCGTAAGAGGATCCTCGCGCTGCGTGCCAGCTCCGCGGCCGCTGCGTGACGGCGTCGCCGCGCGCGGAGCCGCCCACGTCCCTTCTCCCACCGCGGAGCCCCAGCCCTCGGATGCCACCGTCGCTTACGGAGCGCGGCTTTGCGCCCGTGCTCCAGTTTAAGCATTTTTCTGTGCACTGCAGACAAAATTAAAGGCTGTCACCCTCTCCCTGGGTTACCCACTAGAGTCCTGCAGAGAGAGCTGCAGGCAACAGCCAGCAAAAAGCACTTCCAACTTCCCCAGCGCTGCAGCGGGATCCTGGGGACAGCTCTGCTTCCCTTGGCTTGCGGAGCAGCCCAAGCTCCTCGAGCATCAGCATGGGGAGGACTCCCGCTGTCACCGGTGTCATTTAGAGCCGGAGAGAATCAAAAAGCAGCAAAACCCACCCAATGATCACATAACAGTGAAAATTATTTAGCCTTAAGCGACTAAGAAGAAAGCATTAACATTATTTACACCTATTATTTTAAGTAAAAGGTTAAGCGTTTCTCTTAACATGCAATGACTTTAGCAACAAACTTTGCTGTTAGAGCCAGGGAAGCGGGAGGTTTTCCCTGCAGGTGACATCCCTTCCCATCCCGGCACAGCAAACAGAAGCCTTTAAGGAAAGGAGATTTTTTTTACAAAAAGCAGCAGCAGTGACTCACCTGCCTGGCTTTCCCACGGGGTGTTTTGCCCTAGGAAGCCCTTTTTCCCGGTCAAGTAGCTCCCATCGGCTCCGCTCCAACGCCGCCCCGCGCGCCGGCGGGGGGAGATGCCGCCGAGTGGGAGGCACGAAGGGCAGAGCTTAAAGGCGCAGCCTGGGAAGCCGCGAGCTCCTTTCTGCTCTTTTTTATTTCCCTGGACTATTTTTAAGCACCGCATTTTTTTTTTTCCTCGCTACCTGCACTGAAACTCAAGCCCGAACGTCAGAGTTTCGCGCCAGCCCACAGGGAAGTTTCTGCAATTCACGGCGTGACTCTGTTCATCCCAGCAGCGTTTTGCTGGCATGATGGAGAGCAAGATTCCTGCCTGAAGGAGATGTTTGCATCACCCTGTGCCACATCAAGCAATGAAGAATGGCCCTTTTACAGTGTCATTCCTCCAGTCAGGCATCCTTACCTTTTACACGGTCCCCAGGCCTCAAATACAGTTACCAGAAGGGGAAAAAAAAAGCCCCCAAACCCTCCCTTAGGGGGTCCTGCAAGAATGAAGCATTTCAGACCCTTGCACTTGCACAAAGCAGTGCTATATTTGGGTCCAAGTAATTTTATTCCATGTCTTGTTGAAAAACAGACCTGGGGCCAGGATTGCTAGAGGTCACTCGAGCTCATGATGAGGAGCAGGAAGTTCTCCTGTGCATTTTGCTGCAGATGTTAAACACGCAATCACTTCTGAAAAAAAGTAAAATCAAACAAACGCATGCCCAGGTAATCTTACCTTTGGATGGGTTATTTGCAGCTAGAGCTGTGCAGCTTCAGTGAGGTGCAAGTATGAAACTCAGCTCCGTGTCTTAGATGCAGGAGGTGGCCCTTGAGCCCCCGCCCTGAGCACTCAAGTCATTAATTCCCTGGGTGGGCCACTAATTGCCCACCCATTAACTGCACAGAGGAGCGTGCTGAGCGCCCAGCACACCCGAAACCAGGCGATGGCCACAGCTCAACTTCACACAGAGGATGGGAGCAGCTGGTGCCGGAGGTCTCCATAGGATCCTGGCTGTCCTGGATAACCCGGCAGGCCACAGGATCCTGGCTGTCCTTGGACGAAGGGTCCCGTTGGAACGCAGGGATCAGCATCCCCATCCCCGGGATGGGCCATCTCCCTTCCAGAGCTGCCCTAAGCGACTCCCCACGGAAAACCCAGCAAGTGGCACCTCGCTGAGAGGCCAAGAACTGCTCCTGCAGCAGCAGGAAGGGGCAGGCAGAGGGTCTTTAGATTAATTACAGATGCTGCGATGTTTGAGTGTATTTAAGCTAATCAACACCAATAGCCCATGCATGTGCTGGAGAGGTGGTCAAAGCACGGGCCAGTCCTGCCGCAGCCGCTACTTCTGTTCCACGTCCAGCCCTGCAACGCTGGTGCTGCTGCAACCCATGGAGAAAAGCCCTAGGATGAGCTCTGCGGCCAGTCTTTACTAGGACATTTGCCTGCCTTTATCTAGCACCAAACCGGTCTGTCTGGTTCCGAGCCCTCCTGCTCTTCATTCCCCACTGCACAGAAAAGCTCGTCCTGCTGCTTCCTCCCCCTGCCCCCTCCTTGGGCTCCAGCAAGGGCCAGACCGAAACACGCACCACTTTTCAGAAGGAGATTGTTTATTCTTCAATCTTTAGATTGTCAACTAAAGACTTGGTATATGAAAGAGGTAAACAAGCAGCGCATCAACGTTCAGTTAAAAGACGTCAGTTAAAGCAAGTCTGGTGTGGGACACAGGTCTGCAACCATCAAATAAAGGTTTAAACACTTTCCTCTTCATCTTTTCCTATACGTTAGGTTTTACATTAAGCTGATCGGGAGGTTTCTGAAAAACAAAAATGCAGAGCCTCGATTTTGATGGAAGGGATTGAACGGAGGCCGGATCGAGATCCAAACAGTCAGAGCCAAGTGAGTGCACGAGGGTCTCCTAGGTTGTACAGTACTGGGATAGTCAGAGTATGGAACTCGGCTCACATACTTCAACTGGAGGTATTGCCTGAGCAGCCTAGGGAGCGATTCCTTCTCCACATGGAGCTTTCTAGTTTTGGGGAGAAGAAAAAAAATACACCAAAAAAGACCGAAAACTCTGGAAAATAAAGCTTATGCTCCAAGCAGCCCAATCTGAAACACAACAGGAGCAAAGCGACTGCTAAATGCCTGCAAGTTAATTAGCGGTTCAAATTTTTCCATTTTAATTGATTTGTTTAAATGACTGCAGATAAACTGGTTTCTAATGCACATTACATCAGGTGAGAACAAGTGTTTAAATGCGTATTTCAATACCGTGATAAAATTCAGTACTTCGTTATCATCAAAAAACCTACCAGCTTTTAAGGATATAAAAAACCTATTCCAAACAACACTATAGCTGAAAGACAGTCAAGACAGAAAACGTAAAACTGAGTCAGTCTCCAAACATTTTTTTCCTGCTATTTGCAAGTTCACTATTTAAACATAGGTTTATTTTCTTATTTTAAATTAATGTCTACTATACATACTTATACAGTGGCTTAAATTAAGGCATAATCCAGCTGGCTGAAGTTTTGATTAAAATGTCTCTGTTGCTTTGCATTTACTGCTTCATTTTGTTGCTCTGTTGCTTTTGCAATAACTGCTTCGTTCCCCCCTTGCAGAAAGTGTCGTCCGTTAAAGAGCACACTGGAAAAACCAGACCTCCCTCCACTGCCATTTACCACGATCCATTTGGTCACATTTATAGGTAAATGTAGCCTTTGGACTCTAAGTTTTTCAAGAAACCCACCATTAAATCAACTTATCAGAGAAGGCTCAAAGCTTTAAGCAGAAGCTGGTAGAGTTCTGAATCCATCGTGGGGTTTTACAGAAAGCCCTTCGCATTCTAGAGAAGCCCAACATGAAACAGGAGGAAAGGGAAAAAGAAGTTGCCATCCAAAAACACAGCACAAGTTTCTGGAAGGCCTAGCAAGAGTTTCACGGATATAAGTATGGATATTAATGAAGAACCTTCATTAGTAAGTGTGGATATTAACGAAGAACCTTCCAGCATTTAACTGACCAGGCCAACTAGAGCTTAACTTAAAATCCACTTCACATCATGGCACTAAAAGGATACAATTGTAAGTATCACATTTGGAGCCCTCGGAATATGTAGGAAGTATTTCTTGTCTGGCATTTGAAACCATTTTCTAGAATATTTCTATAACCTCTTCATTACAGACTTAGTTTGATTTTTTTTTTTTAAGGGAATGCAACATAAACACAAAATACTGACATCTTTGATAAAGCCAAGCGTTGCAACTTCTTAAAATGGAGTGATATGCAAACCTCATAATCCCTCAACATGTAGCAAAATTGATGCATAAAAAGCACAATCATGCCATACAAACTGGACATTTTATGGTATGTAACACACGACAGCTGCACCTGAAATAGTTAAAAAGTAGAGATATTCAGTCCTTCATTATGTCATGTAGCAAAAGGTATAAAATAACAGGCTAAGTCACAGCCTCTCCCCAGAACCTGACAGGCTCCCTGGCTACTTCAGGGACAGAGATCAACCATGGTCTGAGGCAGGTTAGTTACTGAGCAGCAAGTAACTAAACCACAACCGGCTCTAGCACCATTCATGCTCCCTGGAGAAGGATGACTATTCAATTCAGAATTCAAAAATCACACCTATGTTCCTTAAAAGGATAAACAGAAGCTCAAAAAACCCCACGTACATTTCCCATTTAATGTTTTCCCAGCCGAAATACTGCCTATTAAGCTGAGTATAGCACTACCACTTGCTTTATCTGTCTTGAATTTTTTTTAAACATTCATAAACTTATTTTACTCTGCTGTGTTTTGCAATAAACACTGGATTGTTGTCCAGAGGCAGCCTCTGAAGTTCATATGAGGCCTTACAGCATGTCCCGGAGGTCCATTCATCCTGCCTTTTAAACTAGACTAGTAGCCAAGCCAGGTACCTGGAAGTAAAAACAAAGACAAAAAAAAAAAAAAAGACATTAAGAGATGCATTTAATGCACCATGGTAATAAAAGTCCTCTCAGAGGCTGGGAATGTAACCAGCTCTCTGCATTGCCTGAATGTCAGTTAATACTAAAGCATTCCCTTGCATCAATGGCTTTGACAAGCAGGGAAAAAAGTAAAACACAACAACAGGGAAAGTGCTAAAAACAAAAAACGTATCATGTTTCTCTCAACTTAGCATCGTAGCAGAGTCAACCAATGTTTTTCTCCCTCTCCATGTTCAACTACACTATGCTAAAGCAGCACAAGAGCTACACAAGCACAGAGTACTGTTTAAATAAAAACTCTTAATACTCCCCCAGGATATCGAAACCGGGGCAGCAGAAGGCATCCACTAGTAAAATGATCATCAAAATTCCTACGTCAGAACCCTTGTAGAGCACCATATTTCAGAAGGGTGTTTGAAGTGTGTAGCTGTACCGAAGCTGGAGGCAGAGCATTCTCGGCTGGATTTGATGATCAGATCCCAGTGAGGTTTCTCAATGAACGTGGACACTACTAAACCAGTCTGGATACACACTGGTTTTACGCGGATATGTCTGTGAGGGGGAAGAAAGAGGGTTCCTATCGGATCATTTATTCCAGCGGGGCTTGCTCTGGGTTTAGGCCTTTGCTTTCCAGGTCGTCCTTGCTGTGAGCGGCCGGTTCCTCGCTCGGCGAGGCAGGAGCTTCGCTCCGTTCCGCGTCGGCCTCGTCCGCGCTGGGCTCGGGCAGCTCCTCCACGTGCAGGGTCGGATCCGTCGTTTGCTCCGGGTCTGGCCGGGAAGCTGGAACGTTGGTGTCTTTGGGAAGCTCGTGGCAGCTGACAGGAGCTATCACCAAGGGAGGCTGAGGTAGGTCCTTCTGCAAAAGAGAGGTCGCTGTTAGTTTATTAAATGGTCTATTTAATCACTTAAAGCCATGTAAGTTTTAACCCTTCACAACAGCTTTTATCACATTACAATTGATCTTAAATATATTTTCAACCATTAGTCTTCACAATTTCCCCCTGGAGAACTGAGTTTATCAAAAATAATTCAGTAATGAAATCATGCTCCCATGCAGGGGAACCTCCAGTTTCTCCATGCAACCAACCAATCCAAAAAATTAATAGGCATTATAGAGTAACTTGAAACAGATAAAATAATGATAATTTAGTATCTCATACTAGGTTATGAAAAAATAAGAAAAAGACTTAGAGCTACTTACTGCAACAATAATCACAGTATTTTCAAGGATCAAACCATTAAGATTACATCAGAATTAAGATGGATAAACAAGAACTCATTTACTTTTCACTATTCAGTTTAATTGGCCATAAGCATTAAAGAAAAATCAAAATATTACTGAGGCACCCCCAAAATTAAAAAGGAAACAATCAGTCAAGCAAAACAATATCATTTTTTCGTTGGTGTTGGATAATACTACAATATTTTACTCAACTTTAATTCTAGTTAGGTTTTATAATATTAGTATTTCTCGGAGACACTCATATCAAACTGGTATTCACCGCAAAGCCGCTGCCCGTCCAGAACATTGCGAGCTCCTTTCTCCAAAGAGCCACAGCGAAGCTCGTGAGAAGAGTGCAGGGCACCAGGTACAGGAGAGCTGGCTGCCCCATCTGCATCAGCGCCAAGGCTACAAAGGTGACAAGAAGGCCTATTCCATAGGCTAGAAGCAAAGAAAACAGCAAGGCGAGTTACTCAGGTGCAGCTAGGCTAAGGATAATTAAATAACTAAGTTAAATAACTACCAGACAAGCATTTTCAGGGCTTTTTTTTCCCCCTGCCTCAAGCAATATGTAGAAGAAAATATCCAGAACTTTTTCTGAGCTTCTTCAAACACAAATACTACATGTATGAGTTTGGAATAACGATTCGTAGAGCAGCCATGCTACAACCTATTGACAAGATGTTGTGGAAGTAATCGAATGTGCTGGGTGATTAATTCATCCCCTTGAGCAATTTTAAAGAGTGAAATTAAATGAAACACTTTCTCTTATACTTATGAATTCAGTAGATATGGTCAAAACTATTTTGACCATGATAAGGCCATGTATTTCTCAGCCTGCTGGCTGCACTCCTGCAAACACAGCCTGGTCTGCAGTTAGTTTTCATCACTGCAAGATGCTGGCTCTTCATTGCTATGACCTTTCCCTATAAATTTCTGCAAAAACAGTGTCAGAACAGACAGGAATTTAGCTCCAGAGCCTCTGAGATTTACTCTTCTGTGCTATTTCACCCTCTGATAATGCGAGGAGAAGAATCATAAACCAAGCTGTCATGTATGATTTATGGCATGCTTTTAAGGGAGCTGTTCCTCTAGGTGTTGTGTACAAGCCCGTGTCATACATACCTATTGTGCAGGCTACAAAATAGACTCTGGAGGACTGCACCTGAATATCAAATCTATGGCAATAGGCCACCAATAAGCCTAAAAAGCAAGGAACAGTTAACAGCAGTTTTTCAACCCATTCACAGATAAAGATAAAAAATAACAATTTATCTAGGCATGCTTAAGCCTTAAGCACATTAACATGAATTTAAGACAAACAGCGTAGAGAGGAAAGAACATAAAAGGTTTACTTAAATATATGAGGTTTATTCAAGCCAAACAAGTTTCCCATTTGAAGGGTGAGTGGAAGGGGAATAAATGAATACCACATGTGCACCAAGAAAATGTATAAGCATACTAAGAAATACCTGGAACTAAAATATCTCCAAATCCTAGGAGAGAAAAAGGTCTATCACAAAGAGCCAATGGTGAAGAGTTGAGTCTTGGAACCTTCAGGACCATTGGGAGCTTGGAAATGAAAGAGACAAAAGAAAAATGAAGTGTAAAACAGTAATAGATAAACATATTTTTATATATATATATAGAAAATTTTATATATCTCAGTAATGCCCACATTCTACCTACTACCCCCTTCCCTTACTCTGCCCCAAGTCAGAGGCATCACGTTGTACAACTCTGCACATACTGGCTATTGTTAAACAGAATGCAGAACTGCTCAATTCTGGTGTCTTTTTTTAACCCCCTAATGCCTCAAATTTGTGTTTCTCTCCTCTGCTTTTTGATATTTGCTTTTCATAAAGCAATTATCAAAATAAAGGAAGGGCAATAGGCACACCGAACACAGTTTTAATATCTTTAGTAAAAACTGATATGCTTCATTAGCAATTAGTTATAAACATGTTCATATATTCTGTGAAACTAAACTAATCTACTTCCTGGTGCAGAAATCCTTATAAATAAAGATCAAGGAAAAGCAAAGCTATTGTGATGAGCCACTAGAAGTTTGCTTTGACCTCCCAGCTTTTGCTGTGGATTTCCAGAGAGTCCAGGAACACTTCATATTTCCTCACAAAATTATTTTCAGACTGACATCTGCATTTCAGCTCTTTGAACTTTAGAGCAGTAGAAAAATGTAATAGCTGGGAGTTTGCCTTGTATTTTCAGGCTCTATTCAGTACCTTTTCATGAGTGGCAGAATCGGACGGGCCTGCAGCAACCTCCACCATGATGCTCTCCCCTGTCTAAAAGAAAAAAGAGGAGAAATTATAAAGCAGCAGCAGCAGAGCCCAGGTCAGGCAGCAGGTCTAGGGTCATTGAGGAACACAGAACGGCTCTGGGAGCAGGAGGCAGAGAGCCACTTCACTTACCTTTGTTAGAAAAGGTGTGATAAATACAAAAAACACATCATACACAAAAAGAACCAGGAGGAGCAAGGTACAACCCTGGAGAGAGACGGAAACCTTCATGAGTATTCACATATTAGGCATTAGCATAGGAAGAAGAAACAGCAATTTCAGAATATTCAAGTCAAAAAATAGCAACAATTGCCAAGTCGTTCACATGTTTTCCTTAGCTCCTATTGATTTTTTACGCCAAAGAATCTGGCCTTTATACAGCATGTAAAGGGAAAAAATCCTCAGGCAGAAAATTGCATTAATCCCCCAAACTCCTTATCCTGCAAAATCTGAAGATGGTGCCATTTCAGCGTGTTGCAATCACTGAATAACTATTTTTTTCCATCTTTTGGACACTAGTTGTTGTAATCACTGAAGAACTCTATTTTTTTCCATCTTTTGGACACTAGATATAGCTTGAAACAGTATCTGCATTAAATTTGCTTTCCTGAGGAGGTTAGCCAAAATTATAGGTGAAGACAACTTGGGACAGAGCTTTAAGAGATGCCTGAGGAACAAAACCATTGATACTGATTTTTATCTTGGATTACTCAATAAGAGGGGTTAAGTCAACTCTATTTTCAGCGTGGTTCAAGTGTTACTGGAAAACTAAGTCTACATTGCAATATGAAGAATTCAGGAAAGATGCTAAAAAACCTGATAAAAAAGTGAGCATGACTCACTTTGCAAGTCAAGTCCTTCACCAGGGACTTGAAGCACACAGCTGACCATATTAAGAAACAATCTGACTACAGTCTATAAACCTTAACTTGGACACCAGAAACTGGACTTACAATTCAAGCAAAACTAGCAGGTTTAAGCTACGCAAATTTAGATCAGCAATACTGCAAATAGTTTTTAAGTATGAGATGAAATCCAACTACTAAGAGTCACCTCAGCTGAAGTGTGTTACTAGCATCATTCAAAACAATTATTCACCACATATAATGTACAGTAACATGCTTATTTGTTACTTCGCTTTGCCAAGACGTGCCTGACGAAAGCACAGCTCCCAAGTGACATGTGTGACTGTTAAGTGACATGAATGACTTTTAACTCACATACAGGCAAACCTTTCTATATCTATGTAACTTCCATACCTTAAATGTAGGCAGGCGAATGGTTTTCAACATGTAAAGACAGAAAGCAATTCCTAAAGCATCTTGTAGAATCCAGGCCCACCTGGAAAAGAAAATAGTGAGGTTTTTTCTCCCCGTCCTTCTTTTTTTTTTCTCCCTCCTACAGCTGAATTTGAAATTGAATAGAGAGGAAAGGTCTCCCTCAACTCATCTTTGAAGGAAAAGTGAGTGACTGAAATTAAAGATCCAAACAGAGTGTTTCATCTATGCAAAATCTGGGCTGAAAACTACTGTAAAGTGATAGTTTATCATATAGATGCATTAAGTTTGTAAAGACTTAAATAATAACAGCTATATGCAAGTTATTACTCACATCTTTGATTTTAAGTCTATTTTCAGTTCATGTTGGTTAAACAAGTGATAATATAGTAATATAGAAGGACTTATTTTTAATATTAATAACATAAACTGTTTGTGGAATGATAAAGAAGATTTAGACTGTAAATTTTCTAGTACAGAAACATGAACATTCACTTACTGATCTTCGTTTCTGAAGACTCCCCAGATTACACTGACGGAGATACAAAATACTGCCAAGAGCAGCATCCGGATCTGGGGACGCTTGTGAAAATAAGGCAAGTTGTTGTCTGGGACTCTGAAAATGAAACACATCAACCAAAAATAAAGGCACAGTCATCTGTAGATCTTCCATTTTGAAGCATGGGGGCAGTGAATCTATCACCTGTCCAACATTTTTCTTCTTTTTTTGTTGTTGCTGCTTAATTAAATGTGAAAAAAATCACCACATACCTGCATTTTCCCAATGGGAATCTTCTTACAAAGGGAGACAAACAGCTGTAAAGACCAATTGAGGCAGCCAAGCAGAATATACCTATGATCACATAAACTGAGAAAGAAAACATACTAAGTGCAAGTAGTATAAAATAAGAAATCCTTAAAGCCCTAGCTGAACAAAGAACAGATTTCTACTCCATCAATTAGAGGAGTGTAATGAGTAGAACTTAACATTTTTGAAAACTGCTTCCCCTTTTAATACCTTAAAATAATTAATAATACAAGAGTAGAGGGTTGAATAAGGCCTTGGACAAAAATAGATGTCTAAGACATTAAGCCTGCATCCACCTAATAGGTTTTAGCATTTGAAAGAAGCTTGATGTTCACACTTTCCACTCTCACCAAAACTAGGTACAGAGATCTAGCCAGCAGGGTTTTTTTTTTTTTTTTTGCTTCATTTTCTTCAATTTCCATACTATTAAAACAACCATTTATAATCATTTTTACACAGCAAGGCTCTAAGGGATGACAGCCTAGACGTACTGAAGACTTTTTTCAACAGAAATAGTTTTAAGGGTACCTAAGTGGTCATAGAAGAAATAGAGGAGGACCAGCATTGAGCAGCACATCACTACAAACACACAGATCATTATTGGAGTCACATCCACGGTTTCATCATCGTGTTTCTCTGCCCCATCATCACGTTTGTGCTTCATGTATCGCCTGAAAGGGAAACACAAATATAATCAGACCACTCCTGCAGCAACACATAAGGGCTCAGAATTTTCAGCAAAATCATGTTGGAAATAGTGACAATGCTACGACTTGGAGAATACAACTCAGGGTCATGAATTGTCACTGCAGAGATTCCCACTTCAGTCAGCGAAACCCCACATGTCTACACAAGTAGATGAACAGCATTTCAACATGATGCATGAAAATCGCTATATTCATTTATTAAGAATTATTCTTCACTCATTCTTCATTTACTAACAACTCTGAACAGAGTCCACATCACATGAAATATATACTGTAATAATTTTATGCAGTGACAAAGCCAACATGGGCTTCTCAAATATGTCACATCAGGAGTCTCCCCTTCTGGTTATACAGCCCTCATTAGCAGAACTACCAGGTTTCTTTAGAAAACACTGCCACGTACTCTCACTTTCTCTCCCTGTTCTGTGAAAAACACAGCAAGAAAATTGATACAGGACAACTGGATTACTCACTTTTTCACATCTCTGCTTCCTGCCCAGTAGCCTCCAATTGCAACAGTCCCCACGGCCATGACAAATATAATGACCATGTTGTAGTCCAGCACGGGCTCGTTGGGCGCGTACAGAGCGCCCTTCACCGACCTGCCGAAGCTCTGCAGGGACAAACACAACCTATGAGGAGCTCCCAGCACATCTCAGGAGATCAGCCTGCTCTTCAAAGTCCTCAATTTTATTTTCCAGACTGCTTTTCTTAGTATAAATATCACCAAAACAAAACACAGCTAGGTGGCAAATGTGGTGCAAAGAGCAGCCTTGCTCTAGCATTATGAATCTGAATGCAGCTAGATGAGATTCCTCCTCTGTGATCTAGAGGCACTGCAGACACTTACAGTTCTGCTCCTGCACAAATGCAGAGCTGCCCAGGCACTGCCACGAGCTCCTTTGCTGCCTCAAGTCAAGAGGAGATCCAGAAATATGATGATACTGGACTCAGCGAGCAAGTTTAAGGTTTATCTAAGTGTCTACATGCCCGTTTTATTCTAGAACAGTAATGAGCTCAGTGTTAATCTGATCAGAAACCGCATTTTGGGTGGTGCGGTAGAAGAGCTCCAGAGCAAGGGGCTGAATTCCTGCTCAGAACCAGAAAAAATGGAGTTCCATCTGCCAACAGGCATTCAAGAGTACATTACCACATCGGGTATTTTGTTCCGAACACTAACCATTAAACAAACATTATTATAGTAACACAAGCTTCACGAGTACAACTCATGGGATTTAAAGCTCTGAAGATGTATGTCAAATATGTTCTTGAGCAATGATTCCTTTGGGATGGCATGAATTAGAGCACTTATTGAATTTACCTTGCCAATATCCAGCATGTCAGTGTAGCTGAGCAGAGCCACAGGAATATCAATCTCTTCATATTGACTCCTGTTACCCCCAGGAGGAACCTGCAATACAATCCAGAAATGGATTAGAATTTATTCAGTTCTGCCAAAGTGTTCATTTCTCCAGAAAAACTGTAGCTGCAACTTCCAGTTTTGTTAATTTTGGTTAATAATCCCCTTAAAAAGGGATAGGATAATAGGATACTAATTGCAGTGTGGAATTATTGTACAACAGAAGCTACAGAAAAACAGTCATGTTCTGAATACAAATACCCAAACACACTTGCTATTTAATCAGTATTAGTGAAAAAGCACTTTAAAGGGGAAGTGGCTTTGTTTCAGGGGGAACATCAGATACCAGAAACATTAATAGCAGCAGTGAGCACTAAAGATAAGACAGATCACATATAAAAACACTGGATAGAAAATTAAGTTGTATGAGAAGGTATCTAACGTCACAGAAACATCAGTAATGTAGAAAACCATAGCAGGAGACTTACCAGCCTCTCCCTACTAACAATGAGCAGGCCCCGAGCTCCGTTGATCTGAGCAAGCCTCACTTTCTCATAGAAGGTGCAATTCCCTCGCATCACCATGGGGATTCGATTAATAAATCCCCCATCAGGCACATCAGAAGGAGAACACAAAACAGATGCAGTCTGATCCTGCAGTTGCAAGAGGGACTGCAGAGATTAAGAAATTAGTTGAAGGAAAAAGAACAAAATTCTCCCCCACTCCCCACCAGTTTCCTTCTTACATCTAGCAACTCCAGGCATCTGGAAGGGACTAAATTCCTGCTACTTTAGTCCTTCCCCCTTAAGTTCTCTTATTGAAAGGGAGCAAAACCAACTTAATTGGTAGTGCATAGGGCATTGGATACCGCAATAAAAACCTGACACAGCTCATGAATATTTACTCTCACACTTGACAGAACCATGAACCAACAAGGAAGAACTAAAGGTCATGTTCCAAGGCATCAGGAAAGCCATGTTGTATAATTTCATATCACATTAACAGAGGCAAACTCTATTGTTGACACAAATAAATTCCATTTTCATGTAATGGTTCATAAAGCCAAAAGGAAGACTTGTTTCCAGCCCAAAATAGCTGTTACCTTCTACAGGTGCTAGGCAAGCAATACAGCTGTTACAGCACTGAATAAAGAGATCTTAACAGGCAAAAGCCTTTTCTAAGCAAAGCAAACACATTAGTCACTCCAAATTCTATTGACCCAAAGTAGAAATTAAAAGTTCCCCTAGAGCACAGAGTTTTTGGAACACATTCTTCTGTTATTACTTGGATGGGTACTTACAGCTTTACCCAGGTCGTGTGGCAAATGGGCCCACTGGGAATTGAAGAGGATGCAGTAGTCTTTCCCTTTGCTGCTTCCCTTCTCTGAAAGGACATGGACCATCCCATACTCACAGGACACCTGCAAACACGCAGAGGAGTCACAAAAAAATTTGGTGCATCAAGACAAGAAGTCGCCCAAGGCACTTGGGAGAGGAAGAAACGATGGGTTCCAGATTCACATCCCTGCCCAGTTCAGCCTTGGACACTTTGCTGGAGGCCTGGCCGTACCTCAGTGTCCTCAGCTCTGTTTTTGTGCTGGGCAGCACGCAGAACGTCAAGACTTCGCATCGCATTTCCCACCGCGGTTATTATAACCCAAACGATTCACCCTAAAAGCAAACCTGGACCATCTTCCCCCCAAAAAAGCTATCCTGCCTTTCAGCAAGTGAAAAAATACCCCCAATACACAGACAGCACTACCTATTCTTGAAGGAGTTTTAAACAAGCTTAGAAAGGATAGAGGCACCAAAACTGGGCAGGAGATGCAGGGGAAGGGCAGATGCAAGAAGCCACCGGAGGGGACAGAGGAAAGGGGAAAAGCCGACTGTCAAACGGAGCAGCCGCACCGGTAAGGCCCAAGATCTGCTGGTCTGCACATTTACTGAGGAATGGCAAAGGTCCTCCAAGGCTCCTTGAGTGTTTCCAGAACAGCCGAATGGACAGGCGAAGCCTGCGCACCGTCACCGCACACCTGACAGCCTGCTCGCTCCCGAAGGCGTACAACCTCGCTGCTGCCATGCAACCCCGTTCGGGAACACCGTCTGTGCTCCAGGAACGCGTTAAACCACATAAAGGACCGGGAAACACTCACATGGACAACCCGAACCTTTAGGGTCAGCCCAGCTCTGCGCTGTTCCCCGGCAGCCGCTTTCCCTGTTGCTGGGGCGGGACATCCCCGTCCCACACGGAGGCCGTTGATGAACGGCCCGAAGGCCGGGCCTAGCGGCGGCTTCCGGAGCCCGGGGCCCTTCCCCGGCCCGAGTCGCCCATAGGGCTCTACCCGCCCGCGCA